TTTTTTTTTTTTTCCCCACAGAGGTATGGAACTATTTCCAGAGGGTTTTGGTGAAGAGATATGCCACTGAACGAAACGGCGTCAATGTTATAAGTGGACCAATCTTTGACTATGACTATGATGGTTTACATGACACACCTGACAAAATAAAACAGTAAGGCTTTGTCTTTAAATTCGTTTTCTCTTGCTTCTCTTAACGGTGGCTTTGTCTTAAACAATTCATTAGCTGCATGCTATTTGTTTTTTGGGAGGAGATATAATTTTCTAGCTCTTTTCTAAAATTACTGTTCATTGGGATTGAAAGCCCCTGTAGGTAGGACAGTGGTAAAAATAAGGAAATGGCAATTCAGCACGTAACTGTTCACCTTGAACTGTTCATTCACCCTTGAGACAAAGCTGAATTATGTTCCAGATAATCTTATTTTCTGTAAAATTCTCCAGGACTTAAGAGTTGACAGCTGGATACCAGAGCAAACCATAGCAGTGCTATTGAGTTAGATACTCAAGTCTTTCATTAATTCAGTAATGCTTTCTCTCTGTGTCCCTGAACTGAAGAAGCCTTTCACCACTGGTGTGTGGTATTTCTATAACACAGTATCAAAACATGAACAAATTGAATGCTCATTTTCAGACAGTGTCTGGGAATCAAACACATCTCAACAACGTACGTGTGCCCTCACATGTAGGGGAGGAAACTTCATGCTGTTTGTATAACCTTCTTCCAAACAGATTTATCCTTTGTGGATAAATGTTTGCGTTATTCCCCCAGGTTTGTGGAAGGCAGCGCCATCCCCGTTCCTACTCATTACTATGCCATCATAACCAGCTGCTTAGATTTCACTCAGCCAGCCGACAAGTGTGATGGACCACTCTCCGTTCTCTCATACATCCTTCCCCACCGGCCTGACAATGACGAGAGCTGCAATGTAAGTTCTGCTCCACTGCTGTAGCCCCATGGTAAATATGTCGCTGGGACACGTGAAACCTCATTACAATTAGTAGTGCTCACTGATGTCTTGAATGAAAGCACAGGGTAAGACTCTATTTAAAAGTGTCACATTCAACTCATTAGGCAAAAGCACTCTTCCATGATATCAGAGAAAATATGGAACTATTACTGCATCTGACATTGTTTGGAAGAGCTGACATAGAGTAGGTTGGCAGTAAACAACCTGTGGGCTTCTATGTTTTGGCAGACACTGTCAGCGTAACCTCAGAGCAGATTGGGGGGAGGCTGTGGGCGTAGATGTATTGTGCTGGCAGCCAGCTTGACGTTTTTATTGAGGTCTGTTTCCATATGCAGGTACAATGTAGTCTGTCTGCTATGGCAGTCTGGGTGCATCAGACACCATGATTACATCCAACCCACACAGCATTAAAACTATATACTAAAACTGGTAGAGTGCCAGCTCTTGGTTTCCAGAACATGTCTTGATTCAAGGGAAAAGTTCAGATTCTCATTACCAGAGGTGACCAGACACCCTCCTGGTTCCTTTCATATCTTTCTTTAGGATGCAAGATCCTATGGTGTAAGAATCTTGGTGAAGTACAAAGGCTTTGGTCTGGTCAGCACTGAGAAAGTAGCACGCATGCTCGGCAGCTGATCGTGCAGCAGGAGAGCGGCTGGGTCCCCACCGGCTCCGGCGCTCTGCAAGGACAGCAGTCCTCCCAGGCAGCTGTATTTAGACTTGTCCTTCCGCCTGAACTTGTTCTCCCATTACACAGCTGTGTGGATTCCTGCACACAGACGCTTCACTATAGGCTGCCAGGAGACCGTTTCCTGAATGAACGCATTAATGTTATGAATTTTGTATTGGCACAAAAAGCTAAGACTCCTATTCCAGCTACAGGCAGAAATAGTCATTCCAACTCTGTACACAATTCACCTGGAACACTGTCTCTTTCTCATTCATCAAACATCGCCTGCTTTCAGGTCCCTCCTTTTAAAACCACGCTTTTGGAGCAGTATCCCTCTCTTGAGCAGGTCTGGCTTCCCCCTGTTTAGACTCTTAACTGCTTTGGACAGAGATGTCTTCCACCAGAAGTCTCGGAAAGTCCTACATGTATTCATTGTGGTTTTTCTCTGGACTGCTTTCCTCTGAATCAAGGTCCAGTTGGTGATCTGGAAGTTACTAATCTGGCAGTTATTAGTGCCTCTGTCCTTGTATCTCTGCCCATATGTAATTTTATGACAAAGTCAATCTCTTTTTCCTTCCCGTATTGCGTGTCATGGTCCTCTTGAACCGCTAAAATCTTTTTTATGAGCTGTTTAGAATAATGGCCTCTCTTACTCTGTGCTTTCTTATATTCCAACCCAGGCTTCTTTTCTCTGTAGGTCATGCTACTTACTGTGTGTGTATTTACAGTTCTGGGAGGAACTTCAGTGCTACTCCAAGGTCATTAGCAGATATTGGTCTATGCTTTTTACGTAGCAAAGAACCACTCCAAAAATATTTAGATGTAGCTCGTGAACGAAAATACAGTTAGGCAAAATTTTGCCATTCAAATACAGCATCAGTCTTACTTTTGCACACGGTGTTCCATCTGATTTGTTCAATGAAGTGATTGTGTAAAACCTCACATACTTCATGGATGAAATACATGGGATAATATAAGAATTTTTCCTTAACCTCTCCACAGCTTTCTTTTAAGATCTGAAGAAATATTAGCTTTCCCCCCGCTTTGCTCTTGTTGCACACACTTTCTCTCTCTTCACACAGCCGTTGGAGAACACCACTACTCCTCTCATTTGAATTTGTTCCATTTCCAAACTGTGTTTATTCATGGTGAGGTTATGCCCATTTATTCTTGTGTCAACATTTTTCTATGGCTTAAATAGCCCTTCACTGGACTTCTTTGGGATTTACCCTAGCAATGATTTATGATGATTCTCAAGGCATATACTTCTCTCTATTCATGGGATAACCAGGATCTTTTTTGCTCTTCTTGTAAGAGAGGATGAGCATTTTAGTAGCCTTCCTATGCATCTGTTCCAGTCTGATTTTCTTTTTTTTTTTTTTTTTTTTTTTTTTCCCCCTGGAACATGAATGAGATAAAGTACTCCAGATGAGATCTCAAAATGAAAATGGTTTTCCTTCCACTGGACACAACCCTGCTGATACTATCTAGGATTTGCTTTTTCCATAGCTGTGCTATAATGGTGGCTCACCATCATGCACAACCAGTACACCTAGGTCCTTCTCTTCTATCTGCCGTTTCACCTGAGAAGCTCCCAGCTTAGAGAAATTTTTGTTGTCAATATGGATAACCCCATTTCATATGATAACGGGGACTTCCTCATCTGCATCTGCCAGTATACTATTCCATTCTATTCCAGTCTTCCTCTGTATTGACAGGAGCTCCCAATTGTGTGGTGGGTTTTTTGTTGGTGGTTTGTTCTTTTTTTTTTTTTACTACCACACTAATGACCTTGGCACAAAATCATGTATGAAAACGTTGCACAAAATCATTTTCAAGACCAAAGCTGGAGGAACCCTACTAGAAACTTCCTCCAGGCCACTATTTTCCCTTTCAGCAAAACCTTTAAATTTCTCTCTTAATAACCAAGTTCCTCACCCACCTGTCTACACTCTGATCATGTTGAGCTTTCCAGCTAATAATTTGATATCCAGAGAGATTCTTTTGTCTAGAATACCTGGTATCTTTTCCAGTGGATTTTTAGGTTAGCCTCCTAATTGATTGCCTATTTCTATTTAGCTGTATGTTTTCAATTGTTACATTTTCCTTCTAAGACTCGCGATACTACTCAGGTGAGACTAAGCAGCACAGATGGAGAAAACTATCATTTAAAATGTGTACACTTCATTCGTTGTTCCACAGTCATACAATACCATGTTAGCTGATCACTGTGTTTAAAATCCTTGCTGCTGGACCTGAGGTTTCATGGGCCAGTTGTGGAATGGAAAAACTAAAACCTAGATCAGTTGATTGATTTTTCTGGGGTCATGCAAGTGCTGTCTTGCTGGACTTCGTTTAAAACCAACCTCTCAGTCCTGTGATTTATTCATATTGCAGATCTTTTGCAAACCCTTGGGAGTTCTCCTTGCGTTTGAAGAAGTGAGCTTTGTAGTAGTGGGACTTCCCTTTGAGCTCTGTAAAATACAGATTTCCTGCTAAGAAGGAAGGCTGGAAGACAACAAAATAAGTCACAGTGATTGCATTTGCAGTAACAACCCTGTTGAGGCCCATCGCCAGGCTGAAGGCTGAGCAGAGGGCTTCTTGCAGCCCTGTGCTGGCAACATTCCTGGAGCATGGCACCACAGGCGGAGGGGAGCAAGCACGGCACGCTCCCTTCTTTTCCCTCTTAAGCTGCATCTCTCTTTTCATGCTCCAGGCCTGGTTTTGGGCCTCAAGTTGCTAAGCCACATGGAGAGGAAAGTCAGTTTGGAACTGAAAAGCTTCAAAACAGACAAGTGCTGACTGGGTCATGAACGTTTGCTTTATTGCAGCTGGCTGTGACCTAGCTGGTACTTCGTGTCCTCTCTGTGCAAACGATCAGGCTCACCCTCCTGGCCTTTGCGAGGTGGCCCACAGCCTGGTCTGTGGCCCATCTGCTGCATTGGGTAGGCTCTGGCATTGCTGAAGAACGGTGAGAGGATCACTTTGTACAAGAACCTGGCTGAGACAGACAGGAAGAGGCTCATTTTCAGGAGTAAGCCCAGAAATAGAATTTTATCAGCAAGGTTTCCAAGACAGATGGGGTCCAAATGTCCAAACTTGCTTCCCTGACAGCAGTGTAGACGTACCAGCCTGAGAGGCCAAAGGGGAAAAAGTCCTGTTTGCTCTGTCCTTTTTCCAAGTCTGCTCCCTGTCATGCAGGGCTGGCTGCAGTGCTCATGGGACGTGTCACTGGGCTGGTTAACGCACTCAGACAGCCAGTAACTGCGGTGTTTTGCAGGGCTGATTTTCTGACGTGCTAGTGAGTTACCTTAGTTGGTGGATGGTTCCAACAAGTGCCGGAGCTGGCACAAGGCATGCAGCAGGAGCAGCGCCCTAAGAGAGATCAACCCACACAGCCTTACCCTGATCACTCTGGCAGCATCACATCACCTTCCTGATTTGTGGTTTTTGTTTGGTTTTTTTTTTTTCAATTGGGAAATGCTTAGCGAGTGGGGTTTTTTTCTGTGAATGTGGTTTTTTCTATCAATGAATAATATGTATGTTCTGATAACTGGATTTTACAGGAACCAACATAAACTATAGTCCCAGCTGAGTAGTGAATCATAATGGTCTCCTAACAGTAAAGTGGAAAGATTAAATTAATATTGTGTTAGATGAGGTGCTGGTCAGATGAGAATAATGTGTAGGTTTCAAAGTTAAAGAGAGTCTGGACTTTGGTAATACACAACTAGTTAATATGGAGATCTTTCTGTCAGATAAAAAAATATGTAGTGAAGTTTCAAACCTGTTCTCTTGGAACTGGTTTACCGTAGTCATTCCTGCATAGGGGCGCAGAGATTGTTCAAATGGGCCTGGTCTTCAGAAAAGTTGCATTTGCTTTTGGATCTTTGACATGGCATGTTATGAAACTTTTGGAGGTTTTGGGTATTTTTTATTTTTTTATTTTTTTTTTTTTACATTTCAGAGCTTGGAGGATGAATCAAAGTGGGTTGAAGATCTTCTTAAGATGCACACTGCGCGTGTGCGTGACATCGAACAGCTCACAAGCTTGGACTTCTTCCGAAAGACCAGTCGCAGCTACACAGAAATCCTCTCCCTAAAGACATACCTGCATACGTTTGAAAGTGAAATTTAGCTGTCTAACCTTACTCTGCATCCTTTTATCAACTGGTGTATATTTTTATATTGTTTTTATATTTATTAATTTGAAACCAGGACATTAAAAATATTAGTATTTTAATCCTGTATCAAATCTTAAATATTAAACCCTTGTGTCATTTGTTTTGTTTCTCTAATGTTTAATATAGGTATGTCTCTTGGTTTATTTAGTAGCGCTTGTAATACTGCAGCTTGAATCCTTACTCTGAGCTTGTAAGTGGTGCTGCAGGATTTGATACGTGCATCAAGGAAATATTAATTTCCCATGCTCCTTTACCACACTTGTAGTCCTGTACTGTGTATCAAAATACTGAACATGTAAAATTACATTCATTTACTGTTAACTATGTGACAGACATATTTAAACCCTATAGACAAATAGCATCTTAAATATAATAAACCACACATTCAGTTTTTTTAATGTGTTTTGATTTCCTTTCACAGGGGCATTCAGAGGGACTTGCGGGCAGCTGAGTGCTGCCAGACCCCTCTTACTCACCAGGCAGAGCCCTTCTCAGGCTAAGCTAAGGCTTGCTGGTAAGAGAGCTGCCAGGAGCCCATGAGCCCGGCCCTGGTACTCAGTAGGGAGACCATAAAAGACACCTACAGTAGTCATTACTGGTTAGGTTTTGCCATAGGGGCAAAGCTGGGAGAGGAGGTTGCTTAGTGTCATAAGCTACCAGGGGTACCCCATGCTTGAGGCCACTTGGCCCTGCTCTGGAACCATGGGGAGGGTGTGAGGTGACAACATCCACTGCCACCAGTCAGGCTGTGTCGCATCCCTTCACCACTGCTCCTCTGGGCTGGTTCCTGGGAATATCTGTTCCATTTTCTTTTGCTTTGACTTTGAGGGAAGCTGAGATTAGGCAGATGTTGATGGAGGTGACTTTGCTAAACACCCAGCAGTGGGCTTTTGCCTGAGAGGAAGAAATCTGATTTTTGTCATGTTGTTCTAATGGCCAGAATTTGCAGAGTTTTGCCCTACTCTGAGGCTTAATGCCAGCCCTCATTCTCAGAGGAAGCCCCTTGGCCTGATTGCACTGTGTAACTTCTGGCACTGCAAACCCCATACAATGCACGTGATTTACAACCATCACCCACCTGCTCAAGTGGGTCAAGTCTCTGTTGGCTATGCCTGTGCGGTCACAGTCTCGAAATCCTGGCAAGCCTCTGTGAGTGACACTGATGGCACTGTCCTAAGCCAATGGAAGGGACACGGTTGTTTACTGGTATCTAGATAATGTCCTGATTTGGTTTGAACAGCTTTTATAGAAAGCATATGGTCTGGAGCATTAGCATTAGCGTAGTTAGATGATGTAAAAGATAAGTTACTGTACAGAATGCCTCTTGACGCTGAACCCACTAGTGGCACTCCTACAAAGCCATTGTTTGGGGTTACAGATTTCCCTCTCTCTACCAAAGTGGTTTGTGTCTATTTTCTCTTCGAGGGTTGCAAATGCTGGAGGGAAGCGGGAAGGGCTGGAAAGCATCTCAGCCATGTACACAGACAAATAGCCAGATGTCCAAAGTAAAATTAATCTGGCATAATTTTAGCAATTTACATCCCTGTAGCATCCATCTAAGAGGAAGTAGTAAAGTGGAATTAATCATGTTAACACTCATTATAAAGTTCTTGTGACCAGTAGACAGAATTTTATTATTCTAGGTGCCAAATTCTGTTCAAATTAGAAGAGCACAAAACTTGAATGCTTTAAAATCCACCCCAAATGTTAGGATGGAAATTCTAATAACTGCACAAAGCTCTGGGAAACATCCTATTCTTGCAACTTAAAAATTGTCTCTTGTGGTTGTCTGGTAGCACAGAAACATTTTTCTGTAAGCTTTTGGCAGGGCTTCCTGCCGTGATAAACTTTACGTTCTTACATGTGCTACAAAGGGTATTTCCTCTGGATTTAAAACAGTTTTCAGTTAAGGCCTAATTCCTCCAACACCGACTTTAGCAGTGATACAATGCAGTTGTTCATAAACCAAAGACCACCACCACTGTGTTGCTTTGACATTCATCTGTTGGTTTGTTTGCTTTTTTAATGCAGTCTAATAAATGATATAATTCTCTCGTTTTCTTCCAAAATAAGATGGCATTTATACCAAAGGAACATGTAAGCTCTGAATAATACTCCTCCTCTTGTGTTCAGAGAATTTGGGGTTTGAAATACCATAAGTGATGATTGTTGGGAGGCAGGGTTTGACTCTATCTTGGTTTCACTAAAGAGTAACGATTAGCATCTAGGGAAATGTGATTTTATTTACTCAGTTGCTTGCTGTGGGAATAAATACTAGTAATTTACTTCTGCTCTACTTCCTTCTCTTCAGCCCTCGGCCCCCTGCTCTTGTACGGTATTGCTGTTTTATTTTACCATGCTGGCAGAAGTAGCTGTGCTGGGGAACATTTGAGGTGACTTCTGTGAATTGCATGGGGTTTTTTTTTTCCTGTTGAAAGATGCCTTATCAACACAAAAGCTCCAGTGCAAAGCTGAAGCCTTGTCAATCCCTCTAAGCAACAGGAGCTCTGCAGGAACAACAGGCATTTTAAAGGAAATTTGTAATTTCCCTTTGGTATTCACCAGGGTGAGTGTTAGCTTAGGGCAGTGTGTAGGAAGGAACCCCTCTGCTTTCCATTCCTGTTAGACCTTTTTGAAAATATGAAATACCACTCTCTTCTGTTACACGTTTCCTTTTCTTGATGTTCCTCTGGCTTCTGCAAGAGGTCCATTGAGGAGAACAAGCACTGAATTTTTCTGTCGAGCAAACACTAGTTCTGAGGGTTTGGGGTAATTACTGTTTGCTATTGGTGATGTAAATTTGCGGCATGTTTAATGAGTTAGAGGCAGTTCAGTTGAGCAACTGTCAAGGCAACAAAAGCCCTAGGTGTCCCATGCCTAACAAAGTCCTTTTGCTCTGGGAAAAATCCTCCAGAGGTAGTTATGCAACTGGAATATCCCTGCTACAGGAAACTGTTACTTTTTTAACCCCTTTTTCACAGTTACACATCCTTACAGATAAGCACTGAAAGCAGGGCAAGTAACCTGACCAAAGCATGGTTACGATGGCAAAATTATAGCAAAAGCCACCGTCGAAAGTCACCGGCAGTACTGCCAGACTTAATTACCATGGATTATAGTCTGTCCCGGCCAGCCAGCAGCCTGATTAGATTGATACTTTCTGCTTGCTGCTACTTCCCTGTTCTTCCTTTCCAGCCTTCAGTCCCTTCATGCCGTTAGGTGCAGCATTCCAGAGTTTCTGCACTCGCTTGGATACTGGCACCGTTTTGGTGATAGCCGATCAGTCTGTACTGTGTTATAAAGCGCTTTTAGCTCCAGATGAACAGGAAAAATAAAACATATAATTGTCAGGTCTGTGCCATCTTGTGAAGGTTTTCCAGTATTCACAGGGGTGTTGTGCGAGTAAATTTAAATACCTGTGTTTAATTAGGCCAATCTTGCTCTGTCCCTGGAGGCTGCTCCAAAACAATCCTGCCGTAGTCCCCATCAATCAGTGCTTTATATGCAAACAGTCAGTCAACTGTGTGGAAGACTTTAACAAAATGAAAACACGAACTTCTGTTGTAGGAGAGGCCAGGAAACAAAAGCAGTGATAAAGAGATAAGAGAGGAAGTTTCCCATTTCAGGAGAGGCTGAACAGGTTGAAGGTCCAGGAGATGCTGCCAGAAGGGAATTGGGGCTGGAGAAGATTTATTTGGCATGTTTATGAAGTCCCTGTTCCCCCTGCATCCGGCTTCTTCCAATAGATCAGTCCTTCACGCACAACAGATGAAATAGCTCCTTAATTTCTGCACACAGCCAGGAAGCAGAAAACCTCTCAGGAAAGTTGGAGGAGTTGGCCTCTGAAGGTGTTGCTGATTGCAGGAGCAGCATGGGAACTCTGGAAGCGTCAGGGCTTGTACAGTGAGGACCGAGCGCAGGATCTTACCCAAAAGAAACAAGTTTATAGCAGCTGGATCTGATGTCCCAGCAGTCCTTCCCTTCAGTCTCACTCCACCCCAAACATCTTTAATTAACTTTAAATTTGCATTACAGAGCTGTGCAGCTTACCTCAGCTGCTCTCTGCAGGTGGCAGAGGAGGTATTGCTTGTGGTGCTAAACGGCACAAGCACAAGAAAATTCCTTTTTTCTTTTTTTTTTTTTAAACTGCAAGCCCCCTAGCCACAGGAAGGCAAATGCACTTGTTCTGCCCTACAAGAGAGATGGGAGAAAGCCAGGCTTTCCCGGGACGGGGGAGCACGTGGGTGCTGCAGACCTGCCACCTCCCCTCTGCTCCTCTCCGGTGCTCTTCAAATACATTTTGCACTTATGGCAATGGGGTTTATTCTGCTGTTTTGGCACAGAGAACAAACAAAACTTCACAGCCTTCCTGGGAAGTGGCTGTTATCACAGGCATGGATGAAACGGTGGCATGGAGAGGTTGAGTAATACGTTTAAGGACATGCGTACGGTAAGCCCAGTGAAGCTGGTCATGGCACTCCTGCACGGGGCTTGATATTTATTTTTAAAATGCTTCTGGTAGTGCTACCACTGGTGGGAGGACACAGGGTAAGTTTTGTAAAGCAGAAGCCTCGGAACCACCGAGGCTGAAATAAAATTTCAATAGAGGGCTGTAGAAGCAAAACTCCCTTCCTGTGGGGACAAGAAATCATGCTGAAATAGTTTTCTGTCAATCCCATCTATCAAAATGCTTGTGATAGGCCTGGTTCCTGACCAGAGCCCTCCCCTGACTCCAGAGGGGTGCCACGCTGTGTGTCTGTCCATCCTGTCTGTAGTCCTAGTCCAGCTCAGTTTTGTGCCTCTGGTTTCCTTTTCCCTCGCTGCAGTTGCGGACACCCGTTGCACTTGACCTGAGATACGTGGTATAGTCATGGTAATACAACTATACTCCGACCAGGATAAACCTGCCAGCAAATGATTAGTACCGTGTTAACTGTACATCTTCCAAGTGGGG